TTGTGATGTCATAATTACGTCATCATCATTTATGAGGTCACATCAAAATCACATGAGTGAAAGGACAGCAGTGTATTCTATGAGTTCTATGAATTCTATGTAGAGTCACAAAAGAAATTCACTCGAAATAATCATGTGGTGTAGTTTCTTGCGAATTGCCAGCTTAGTTATAATTTTGCCCACACGCCTGAAAATATCATGTATAGGAAAAAAAAATTGTATATAGAACTGGATTACTTCCAAAATTTTGTAGTGTTTTTGTTAATAATTGAAGATGTACATATTTATATATATATACAACATATATATTTTTGAATTTACTTAAGATCAAATGAACATCACATCTAATTACATGTATGTTTAAGATTTGGGAATTGAAAAATATAGAATAGCAAACACTTTTCATAAACTTTTGAAAAGGTTTTGTCATAATGCCCACTTCATCAGATAGCCTGCAGAAGGTATTTTTCCTGATGAAATATTGCAGGGCCCGTGGGCAATTCCGTCTTTGCGTATTGCAGAGTTATCTTCTCTTGTGAGCAGGTAATGATTGTTACGTCATTTGTTTGTGAGAGTAACATCATCAATTTTTCAGAAAACGACGTAATTTTTTTCTCACACAAACCAATGACGTAACAATCAATACCTGCTCACAAGAGAAGATAACTCTGCAATACGCAAAGACGAAATATGCAAGAAGTTACAGTACATGTTTTTCTAAACCTACATTGCACATTTTAAACACCTACAAATGCAATTGTTAAAGACGATTGAAAATGTTCAATGATAAAATAAGCAATCTAATTACATAAATATTCTATAATTTCAAAATTCATATAATTTAAGGAAGATGTTTTACAGTTTTTCCTAAAATGCCATTCTTTTGTAAGGGAGATTTAAGTCACAGACAGAAATGTAACATACGTCCTTAAGTCCTGGCATCAACCCAACAGGTAAAAAAAATGTTAATGTGAATTTCAGCAGAATCAATTAATTTTTTGTAATAAATTTGTACAGTCTACAAACAAGTGTAAAATATTGTGACCACGTAATATGTCCTGAATAAACCAAAATATTGCAGCAGGCTTGATGTGTAACCAGTCAAAAGAGAATGCATGCTATTGCGGTATACTGGATTGGAAGCAGGTCAAAATATTGCATCAGATATTGCCTTTTACAAATGTACCTGTTTCAATAACTATACTGGAATTTTAATGAACATGCAAAGAATCCTCTATACTAAGGATTAAAGAGAGGTAGTAACAATTAACATCCAGATTTAGAACTCTATTTCAAATAAACTATGTAATCTAGATGATGTTCTTCTCTATCATTTATATTGACATTCCTTGTTGGAGCGCTTCTGAATTCCCTTGGGTAACAATCTTAACTCATTCACCCCTGAAGACACATTTGAACTCTTCCAATTCAAGGGTTGGAATAGTTCATTGTGAAATTTCAGGGGTGAATGAGTTAATACTCCTAGTACAATTCACTTATGACCCACAACAACCAAAAAAACATTGGGTTTGGTGACCCGGTTTTTACGACCCCCCTATACTTTCTGTATGAAATTTCCTCAATAATGTCTGAAAGATTTATCTATTGTTAAAAGGAAGTTGGTAATATCTTAAATCTTCAATCTGTTATCTACATTCATGGATGAATAATAATTAGCTCTCTGACTTTATACTGAATAAACAAGAAACTTCTTCTAATAACGTTATGTAGTGTTGGAAATCGGTTAAAATTTCATGATCGATCATTATTTACCACTAACTCATTCAACTATTAACATATCTACACTGGACTTGCCGAGTCATTGATTTGGCATGGTTCAAATGTGACTTTAGGGGTGAATGAGTAAACTAACCGATGATTGATAAGTAATCATTTTAACCCATTCACACCCTAAAGTCACATTTGAACCTTACCAAATCAAAGTCTGGGCAAGTCCAGTTTAGATATGTAGGGGTGAATGAGTTAAAGAAATACATTATCCTCAGTGCTGTTGTTGCATGTCGCTATACCATAAATAACATTACATCTCTTTGAACAATGAATCTGTAATTTATAATCGTAAGTGGCCACCAGCACTTTTGGAAGCTAAAGCAGGGTCCTATTCAAGCTTCCCTTTGAAACAGTTCAGTTGGTACAGAAATATTCCACGATTAACGAATGCACAGGGACCACACTAAAGGCAGAGCTAAAAACAATGCACAGTTTTGGGGCTTTATGACAAATAAATACAATATATCAAGCACAATATATCCTTTTTTCATGCATCCACTAAATTATATAACAAATATTCCAGTGAATTGACCTTGTTTTGTATAGAAAAAACACAAACTATAATATTCAGCATTTTAGTTTCGATCAGACACGTCTGGACCCCGAAATACACATGTGCCAAATATTTCTGTGGTGCAGACTCAGTTCAGATCTGAGCCTGTCATTTTCTTTTATGGTTCAGCCGATTGAAACAGTTGAACAGGACACTTAAAAAGGGGGCTAAGTCAGTCAAAGATGGTGCCAACATAGCAGCTATGACCAAATATCTAAGACTTCTATTATTTTTCTCTTATTACAGTCAAACTTCCAAAAAATTAAACTTAGAAGATTCAATTTTCTGTCGAACTTTTGTTTCCTTATATAATATAATAATTTTTCTTATTAAATTAAATCCAATTTTTACATGTTTTTAATTGAATATCTTGCCTTGTGTTCCCTCACTTAACAGTTACAGTCGGTCTTTCGTAGTTTATACAGGATCTCCACAAAGTTCAACATTCTTAAGTCAAAGTCTCGATGTTTCGAATTTTACCAGATGGTTCCGTAAAGTTTGAAACATGGAAGTTTGAGTCTACTTTTTAGCAGGGACATAAGCTTGATATCATGAATCCCTCGAATAAAAAAGCTCCACAATATCTACACACAATTATTCGGAATAAGATCCACCATGAAGTCTGTAGTTGATTAATCATTTCGTTGGCCTAACTGACCAATTGTCGTCAAAGTCAATTAATCGGAAAATCCATAAAATCATGGTACATTAAGAGTAACAAAAATATAAAGCAAGGCAAATTTGATTACACAACATTAAAACAATATAAAAGTTTAAGTTATATAAATTAGACCTGGAGACATATTGGTCCTCTTTTCGCAAAAAATCTATATGATCAAAAAACATATTCAAGGATGTAACGTAAAAATTCACCTTCTAGACCTCCC